TTTTACCAGTGAGGAAGCTGGCATTTAAACAAGCTAAGGGGCTTTCCCAAGGTTATACAGCTAATGAGTCATTTAGAAGTCAGGGTTTTAGCTCAAGAGTATCCAGCCCCAAATCTATGCCTGTTACCCACTACCATTCATATAGCATGTATCATTATTTTGTGAATTTCCCTTCATGTGGCGAAAGACTTCTCAATCAATGGTTTTAGGAGGCTGTCTAGGATGGAGAATACTTCAGAAAACCTGATTTTCACTATAAATTTTATTTAAAGAAATGCTTTTTGTTTACTCCTGTTTAAATAATTACCTCTGGACTGCTCAAGGAGTGTAACTGGCACTATAACTGTTCCCACGTTCCATTCTAAGATTGGGCAGAGGATGACTTAGCCTCATAAAAATGCTTTGTGAGCCCGCGACTACCTGCTATTGCCATTCAGTCATTCATTCAATAACTGTTTGTCAACACCTGCTTAGAAGCAAGCTCTATTTTAGGCACCGAGAGTGCAAAGCAGACAGCGGTCATGTCCTTGGGCAATTTCCATTGTGTCCTGAATGCCTAGTGGCTCTAAATTGCTCTGCACGTTTTTCTAAAATGAGTAGTTTGTTCAGTGGTCAAGTGCATTGTGGAAATAGCTGCATCCCTTTGACAACCTTTCTCATGAGACTACAGCTGAGTTTCATCCTCTCTCAAAATACTGTGGCAGGAAACATGAGACTATAAAAAAATGTCCGCAGAGATGAGCTTTTCAGTCATGGGGTATCAGAGAACTGAGTTTATAATTAGCCTTTAAATGTTAACTTTTTATTTTCTATTGTATATTTCCCTCATTTTTTAATATAAATTTGTATAACACTGGTAAGACAGGATGTACATCAACAAAATAGACTTGCAGTGTGGTAAAATCAGCACTGGGCCTGCACACAGAGACTTGGAGTTAGTCAATTAGCTCTGCCATTACTAGATACTCTGTGACGTTGGTAAACACATCACCTCTGAGCCAACATTTCTCTTTGTAAACTAAAGATTTGAATTCTGATCTCACAGGTCTGTTGTCAGGATTACATGAGTCAGTGTGAGTAAAAACACCCAGCCCAGAGCTGTAAGCACCCAGAAGAGGNTGAG